ATTGTCAATTCAAAGTTTCTATTTTCAAGTGTTCCGGTGTTACCAACTGCTACATACCTATTTCCCTACATTGCCAAAATTTACTTTATTTTTGTTAAAAAAAAGTATAAAAACGCGAATTACAAAAAATAGCATAAAAAACACGTTTCATAAGACTTAATGCACTCATTCATTAAAAAACTCGTGGCTTCGCCACTCGTTTTTCAAATTGAATTCGTGCATTTCAAGCGTGTCTTACGAAACTTGTTTTTTAATATATTATTACCTGCCGCATATGCGGCAGGTAAAGTAAAACAAATGAATTAAATGCACACTTAACTGGACAGTAGCACAAAGTGTAATTTTACTGCCGCAAATGGATAGCATAAAGTATTGTTTTGCTGCCGGTGGGCGATAAAAAAAATTATATGGAGTAACACAATCTGCGAATTACACTGACAAAATTGACAATCGAAATAGAAAATTAAGTATTTTATATAAAATATTTATTTTCTAGATCTATTGCTAGCTATGTATAAGCCGCGCCTGTCTATACAGGTCTGTATAAAAATTGCACTGCCTTGTATCGTTTCCACACATAATGCGATTTAATCCGGTACACAGGCAATGTGTGGTAATAGTTACAATGTTATCTAAATAGTTCTCATGCTGTGCAATCTTACTACTATAAAAATTTAGACCGAGATTTAGTACCCTCACAATCCACTGGATGACGTTGTAAACTGAATTTGCAGCAATCTGCATTATCTACACAAACAAAGCGCTTGTAACCATAGAAAAAAATTTATATCGTCAAACTCAGAGGTGAAAGCAAATGTCACATTTTTGTTTTGTCGTTTAGTGTGATAATTGGTGATAACCTTGTTGTATAAGCAAATTTCTTCCTTACGTTCTTTTGGCTTAGTGTTTTATATCCTTTAGTTAAGTATTTAAATAAGTTACGGCCACTTTTACCACCTCTTGATAAGTTTATCCAATAGATAAATTGGCGCTTTTTGCCAATAAGAGCAATATACGTTAAAAATTATGAATATTATCTTGGAAAAACTTTAAATTCATATTTTTTCCTATTTATTTGGAAAATGCACTTGACCTCTTCAAAATAAAGTAATGGTATAAACCGGTATAGAAATACCTATATTTAAATTTCGCGCTTTAACCTAATTAGTTCCCCCACAATCCCCTTGGGAGCGTTTGTACCAAAAAATAGTGGGGAGATGACCTTCTATATACATAATATATATCAATTTTTCTATGATAGTTCTATCTTCTTTTGTGGATGAGGAAAGCAATGGCGACTGGAAGTTTTGATTTTCAATTTTGCAGTCAACCTGTCAAACTGTACAATTTCATATGTGTGCGTGTTTTTGCATTAATTTACGGAGGACTATAATATGTATGTTTATTTATACATTTATTTATCCTATATAAAGGGGTGGCCCTTAATCAGTGCTTTTAATGTTATCCGCAAATGATACGCTTTATTAGAAATTACCTCCTGATCCATGGGTTGTAAAACGGAGGTTATGTTACGGAGCATGTAAATTACCTTGACGTCTAATCCCGTGTCTAAGGCGTCAAGATTTTGTGGATGTCCTGGAGCATTGTCTAATAGGAGGATTGCTTTCTTTGGAAGGTTATTTTGGTCACAAAATTTAAGCACAGTAGGGCAAAAATAATTTTTATACCAGTGTGAATATCTTCTGAGTGACCCAGCCCTTTTTATTCCACCTCCAAAAAAACTGGCAAGGAAGTTTCGTCAAGACCTTTAAAAGTCCGTAGATTCTGGGAATGGTACACTACCATTGGCTTAAATTTTAAGGAACCAGAAACATTTGATCCTAAAAGAACAGTCAGTCTATCCTTGGCGGCTTTAAATCCAGGAGTGCTACGTTCTTCTCGCGAAATAAATGTTCTCGATGTCAACTTCTGCCAATAGAGGCCTGTTTCATCAAAATTGAAGATGAGATATGCAGGGTAACTTCCTTGTTCCACAATTTCTTGAAACTGCTTCGCCGCTCAGTTTAGTGCTACGGTTCGAGATTTGAATCTCGTGAACCACCCAGTGCTTGCTAAGAAAGTTTCGTCAGTGTTTTCTTGAATCTTCAAATCATAAAAATCAACAGTTCTTTTTCGCATATGATTACTCGTGTTACAGGAATATTTTTTTGATTGGCATCATCAACCTACAATGCTAACATTTTTTCCATTTTCTCTATATTTTTGTTGCGGCTATAAGTTAGGTTCTTTACACTTACAGCCGTTGTCTGTCGAGTGGAATGTTTTATTTTCTCAGCGTTTTTCATAATTGTTGTCAGGTCTGGTTTGGCCATCTTCAATGCGTGTAATTACGTCTATTTTGTAATTGTCTCCAGGCTTATTGTTTTTCGTGCTTTTTTCGCACAATGTTTGGGTTCTGAATAACTATTATCGTCCATAATGAAACAAATGGAATATTCTTTGCCTACTGTCGTCTGATGTCGGGCGAACCGGGAAATCCCACACCGGCACCAACCGGCGTAATTGTGAATCGGTGTAAATCGAAATTAATTTCTTGAAGGATCCTTGTGAAAATATCACCAATTATTAATTAAAGTATCCTTTTTTTAATGCAACAAGCCGTTTTGAAAAATCACTTTCAGTTCTTGAGAAATAAATTTTTGAAATGATCGACAATTTTTTTGAATTTTGCAATTTTCGCCTATTAAGTTTTAAAAATTCGTAAAAAATCCATTTCTTGGAATGTTGGTATAAAAATTTCCCAAAGTGTTAAGAAAAGTGTCCTCTTTCCAATGAACCAACACGTTTTGAAAAATAACTTTTAGTTTTTGAGAAAACAATATTTGAAGTTTTGGTAAAATTTTCGATGTTGTAATTTTCATCGATAACTTTCAAAATTCGCTATAAAATTAATTTCTTGAAGGATCCTTGTGGAAATATCACCAATTATTAATTAAAGTATCCTCTTTTTAATGTAACAAGCCGTTTTGAAAAATCACTTTCAGTTCTTGAGAAATTAATTTTTGAAATAATCAAAACTTTTCAGAATTTTGCAATTTTCGCCGATTAAGTTTTAAAAATTCGTATAAAATCCATTTCTTGGAAAATGAGTATGAAAATTTCTCAAAGTGTTAATAAAAGTGTCCTCTTTCCAATGAATCAACCCGTTTTGAAAAATAACTTTTAGTTTTTGAGAAAATAATATTTTAAGTTTTGATAAAATTTTCGATGTTGCAATTTTCTTGGATAATTTTCAAAATTCGCTATAAAATTAATTTCTTGAAGGATTTTTGTGGAAATATTACCAATTATTAATTAAAGTATCCTCTTTTTAATACAACAAGCCGTTTTGAAAAATCACGTTTAGTTCTTGAGAAATAAATTTTTGAAATGATCGACAATTTTTTCAAATTTTGCAATTTTCGCCTATTAAGTTTTAAAAATTCGTATAAAATATAGTTCTTGGAATATGAGTATGAAAATTTCCCGAGGTGTTAATAAAAGTGTCCTCTTTCCAATGAACCAACCCGTTTTAAAAAATAATTTTTGGTTTTTGAGAAAACATTATTTGAAGTTTTGATGAAATTTTCGATTGGATATGAAGGTTAAATTATTTTTTCTTGTACTATATCGATGTTATTTATTTATTTATTTTCTTCTACATGTTTCGAGGAAACTGGGCCCACATCATCAGGAAGAGATCATCAAATTTATGAATAAAAACTTCACTATGTTCTGTTTCCGTTATTTGATATTATTGATGATTATTGATGATATAACTTTTGATATCTCCTCGTTGTTGTGGTGTGTTTATTTTTTGGTAATGACCAAAAAATTTATTATTTTTTTATTCATAAATTTGACGATCTCTTCCTGATGATGACGGCCCAGTTTCCTCGAAACATGTAGAAGAAACTAAATAAATAAATAACATCGATATAGTACAAGAAAAAATAATTTAACCTTCATATCCAATATCACACGATGTTAAGAAGACAAAACAACAATTACAAATTTTCGATGTTGCAATTTTCATCGATAACTTTCAAAATTCGCTATAAAATTAATTTCTTGAAGGATCCTTGTGGAAATATCACCAATTATTAATTAAAGTTTCCTCTTTTTAATGCAACAAGCCGTTTTGAAAAATCACTTTCAGTTCTTGAGAAATAAATTTTTTAAATGATCGACAATTTCTTCGAATTTTGCAATTTTCGCCGATTAAGTTTTAAAAATTCGTAAAAAATCCATTTCTTGGAATGTTGGTATAAAAATTTCCCAAAGTGTTAAGAAATGTGTCCTCTTTCCAATGAACCAACACGTTTTGAAAAATAACTTTTAGTTTTTGAGAAAACAATATTTGAAGTTTTGACAAAATTTTCGATGTTGTAATTTTCATCGATAACTTTCAAAATTCGCTATAAAATTAATTTCTTGAAGGATCCTTGTGGAAATATCACCAATTATTAATTAAAATATCCTCTTTCTAATGCAAAAAGCCGTTTTAAAAAATCACTTTCAGTTCTTGAGAAAAAAATTTTTGAAATGATTGAAAATTTTTTCGAATTTTGCAATTTTTGCCGATTAAGTTTTAAAAATTCGTATAAAATCCATTTCTTGAAATATGAGTATGAAAATTTCACAAAGTGTTAATAAAAGTGTCCTCTTTCCAATAAACCAACTCGTTTTGAAAAATAACTTTTAGTTTTTGAGAAAACAATATTTTAAATTTTGATAAAATATTCGTTGTTGCAATTTTCTTCGATAATTTTCAAAATTCGCTATAAAATTAATTTCTTGAAGGATCCTTGTGGAAATATCACCAATTATTAATTAAAGTATCCTATTTTTAATGCAAAAAGCCGTTTTGAAAAATCACTTTCAGTTCTTGAAAAATCAATTTTTGAAATAATCGACAATTTCTTCGAATTTTGCAATTTTCGCCGATTAAGTTTTAAAAATTCGTAAAAAATCGATTTCTTGGAATGTTAGTATAAAAATTTCCCAAAGTGTTAATAAAAGTGTCCTCTTTCCAATAAACCAACCCGTTTTGAAAAATAATTTTTAGTTTTTGAGAAAATAATATTTGAAGTTTTGATAAAATTTTTGTTGTTGCAACTTTCATCGATAAATTTTAAAATTCGCTATAAAGTTAATAAAAAATAAAAGTATACTCTTTTTAATGCAAAAAAACCGTTTTGAAAAATCGCTTTCACTTCTTGAGATATAAATTTTTGAACGAATGTTTATTGAAACTAATTTGATAAAAAAATGATATGGTTTAGTCCATCTTGGGACTTTTTTCATCCTGGCATATTTAGGTTGGCAATAATTCAACTGTCATAATTCAATTCTTGCGTAACATTTAATTTTTTGATTCGTAAATCTTTTCGTTTCTTTCACATAAAATTTTAACTGTATGTATAAGTATTAGTTATTTCCTCATAAGTTATTTCTGTCAGCTTCTCTCAATTTATTAAGACGAAATGACATTTGTTGACATTGTATATTTTTATTTTTTGACAGTTAGTTACTACCAACCTAAATATTTTAGGATAATGACATAATTTATTTAGAAAGAGTTTTTTTTATAAAATCTTTGTAGATTATATTTTATCTAAAAACTATATTGTTTCTCTTTTTAATGCAAAAAGCCGTTTTGAAAAATCGCTTTTGCTTCTTGAGAATTTTGCAATTAAAAGTTCGTATAAAATCCATTTCTTGGAATTTCTTAAAATTTTCTTAAATATACATCTCTTTGAACCTTTTTGTCTCTTGACTCATACTTTAATACTTTATAATTCCTGCATCAAGTTTGCAGAAATTATCTAATTTTTATCTAGTCAAGTGAGTTCAAAATTAAGTCTGTATCAATTTCAAAATTGCATAAAGTTAGATAAAGACTTGATAGATGTAGTAAGTCTCCGACCAATGTAGTTTAAAACTTTATTATGTCTTAAACAGGGTGTTTCGCGTAAGCAAAGTACATAAATTACATTAAGGAGCCAAGATACACATATTTTTATATATACAGGCTGTTCCATAACAACGTACCGAAATAAACGTAATAAATAAGCGATATTGGCTGTATCAGTTTTGTTATACAGGGTGTTCACAAATCAAAATTATGCAAAGAATGGAATTTTATGAATTGATTATTTATAAATTTAAAGAATATTTATTACCACTAAAAAATCCACAATTACGAGAATACAAAAAACATTTATATAAGCCATCCCATTACAAATAATTTTTTTTAACCTTCTTGTGGTGCATCTTGAGTTGCATCTTGAGGTGCATCTTGAGGTGCATCTTGAGAAGCATCTTGAGGTGTTTCTTGATCCCCTTCATGTGTTTCAGGTTGAGCCGTATCACCTTCTTCGTGGGCCACTTCCTCAGCTTCGTGAGTTTCACCTTGAGGGACACCCTCTTGCGAAGGTTTCTTTTCCCCAAATTCTTCTTCTTCGTGTTCACCCATATCGAAATCTTCACCATGCGCAACCGCAACTCCACCCGCATCAGGGACTAAATCTAACAGATTAATTTCAGCGCCTCTCTCCGAGTCAATCGATGGTGCTTCAGGTTCGTCGTCGAAAAGAACTTGGCTGCTCTCTTCGACAACTGACGAAAGCACTTCTTTTCCGTGTACACTACTTTCTTCGGTTCCTTCCTCACTTTGTTCTTCTCCGGTTAATTCATCTTTTTTATCTGCTATTCCTAATTCGCTGTACGCTGCAGCCATATCTTCAAGACTTGGTCCAATTTCGGTGTATGTGTTACGTTTGGTTGGGAATTTAGATCGTAATTCAACTGCAATCGGAACAAATCCTAAATCGCCTTTCTTGTACATTGCTGTAAATGATTCGACGGATGATAATGAAGGTTTTCTTGGTTGGAGTTCGTAAACTTTTCCTAAAACTTCTAATAGGGTTTGTAATAAATCGTCTCGACTTTGCGCTACTTGGGCTGCTTGATCTTGTTCTAAATTCAAAGCTTGTTTGATGCACATAACAGCATGAACAAGAATTTCGGTTAATCGATCGACTTCACCTTGCGCGTAACTTACATCTGTTCTTAAACACACTCTATCACATCTACTCAAGTGAAGATTTTGCTCGAGAATTTTACACCTTTGTATGTAATATTCTACGGATCGTTCTGATTCGAGTATTTTTATTTTAGCCGAGCTTAATTCTTTTTCGATTCCTTTGTAATGTTCTAATTGTTGCATTAATTTTTCATGTTCGATCGTCATTTTAGAAATTAATTGATATTGAACGGCCGATTTCGCCAAGGCTTTATTCTTTTCAGATTGATGTAGATCAGCTTCCATCCGTAAAATGTGATCTCGTTCTTTTAATTCTTCATTTTCGGTATGTAATCGGTTATGAGTTGCTAAAATCACGTCTAATTCGTTATTTATGGTGATGTTTTCTCTGATTACTTTATGGGTTGTTGCTGCTATTCTTAAATTGGTGGCGTCTTGGAAATCGCAAGATAATTGTAAGAGTTTCTCCTCCATCTCTTTTTTCAACCGATCTTTACCGATTATAAATTTTTTTTCGATTTCGTAAATTTCTCTTTTATGCCGGAGTTCTTGTTCTTCCATTGCTTTTTCTTGGATTTCGTATCTTTGCATTAAATCGTCTCGTTGAATTCTGTACTCGTCTAAGGAGTTTAATTTGCCGTTTAATAGTTTGATTTCGGATGATAATTGTTCTTGCATCATTCTGTACTCTTCTTTCATATCGACGATTTGGTTTCTGAAATCTTCAGCTTCTTCTTCTCGAGTTTCTTGTAACGCCACTAGGCGATTATTTAAATCGGCGATATCGTCACATTTTTCCTGTAGCGTTCGGTTTAAATATGAGATAATATCAGCTCGGTCTTCATCCATCGTTTTAAGTTCTGCTTGAAGCTCTTCATTTTTCACTTCGAGCTCGTCACTTAACGTTCTTAATCGGGCTAATTTCCGGTTTACATCCGCTAGTTGGAGTTCGTAAAATGTTTTATCTACTTCTGTAAGTGCATTTGGATCTGGTGGTACTTCCTCTTTCCCCTTTGCTCCTTTTTTATCTCCTTTTCCACCTTTTTTACCTTTGCCTTTAGCCATATTTTTTTGGTTCAATTTTAGACAACCCCTACAATGCTTATTTTGACAACTGATTTGTTAGGTTGCCATAGAAATGAATTGTATCGATTTCATCATTTAGACATGTACTAAAAGATGGCGCTAATTTTATTTAAATTTTTAGGGGGAAGCAATTCAAACTGAAAAATGCGGTTTATCAATTGGCAATAATTGGGAGTGTTTTTACAGCAATTCTTTAATATCAACGAATATGGTTGCGAATATCCCCGAAGTTAGAGAAGAAGTTAGCGAGCATTGTAGATGTGGATGCACAATTATTTTAGGGCAAGATAAACCAAGAAGATTATTAGCAACTTCCTCGCAAAGTTGCCCAGAGAGAACTTTTTGGTTAATAAGGGTAAGATTTTGACATATATTAAGATTAGTCCCTCTTAAAAATCGATGTTTTTTTTTAATCGGTAGGAAATGACTTAAAAGATGCGTTAATGATAAAAAAAAGTGCGGAAAAGTGTAGTACTTACCGAAAAATCACTTTAAAGTTGTGATTTGACGTTTCTTTTTGGAAGTTCAAAGCAATAGTATATTATTATATGAGCATATAATAGCTCATTATATGCGAGTAGAATACTATACTTTGTCCACGACTATTGAAATTGATTCCATAAATTAATTTTTTAAATAAATTTTTGAATAAAGGTTAAACGTCAATGTGACACAAATTCAATGTTACCAACTGTGACCAACTTCACAACAATTTGTCAAAATTAAGTGTCAGTTTTATAAAACGTCGTTTTCTTTACGAAAATTAATTTATGCTTAAATCATACGAAAAAAGGAATTTGTTTAGGTTTTTTTAATGTCAAACATTTAGAAACTCCTAAAAAATTGAATTAAATTGACGTTTTTTGAACTTTTAACGTTTCAAATAATTATTGTTAGTCTGGTCAAGATGGCTACCCATGAATAATGATTTTTATTCACTCCGTGAAAAATGACTACCATTTTGTTTTAGAAAACTCATTCATAAGGTATACAGGGTGTCTCACGTAACTGGTTCGTTAGAACTTTTTAAAGTTCCACTATTCGTAGTGGTTTGAAATTTTGGTAGCATGGGTTGTTCATTCTAAACTTTCGATCTAAAATATTTTCAAGATGGCCACCCTTTCCGGTCTACCGGAAGTAGACCACAACTTCGTTATTTTAAATGGAATGCTATAGTTTTTATTACACCTTTCAATTATACGTAAAAAAATATGTTGACTTTGATAAAAGTTGTTGGTACCTAGCGTTTTTTGTTTTCGAGTTATTTAGATTTTAAGTGTTTTTTGACAAATTTCACTATGGTCTTTAAAAGCCCATATCTCAGCTAACGATCATTCAAAAAAGCTCTGCATTGGCACGACTACTCTACAGATGCTGCCAAATAGATTGTCATTTGTTGTATCAGAAAATCTTATACAGGATGGTCAAAAATTGAATTATCGTTTCTCAATATTCAATTGCGAAAAAGTCGAAAATTTTAAATGGAACACCCCATATTTCTTTACCCTATCAGAAAGGGAATTTAATTCTCTACAAATTATCTATAAACATTCCTATACCTATTTATTGTAGTTTCCCTGATATTGGGACATTAATCAAAGCATGCACGGAATGCAGGAAAACGTTTGATTTTTTTATTAGAAGGAATGGAATTTCACGACAAAAACATACGTGTTTACACGACAAAAACTTCTGGAAGTCACTTCTGGAAGCAACTTCCGCAAGAAAACTTGGTAGTGGACACACGGCTTTAGGCTATCAATGCATAATAACAATTACCTGTAGTTAGATAGAATTGTTTCTACCAAATATGTGTTAATAGATTGTGTATCATTTGATCTGTCAAACGACTGAAATATCTTTATGTTGTAAATATAAATGATAAATAAGCATAGTGGCTTATTTAATAATAGTTTACTTAAATTAAAATAGTTATTAAAAAAGACATGTGTATACATGGTTACAAAATAAAAATAAATAAATAACCCGTGTGACGATAGCAACAAACCTTCCAACAACAAACTTTTACCCGTAATTTCCTATCTATTTTATTAGCTGATATCTTTCTTATTATTAGAGATAGCGGAAAACTAAATGCACCATTTGAAAGCTTGATTCTTTCTCTACGAAATCGTCGGTCCTCGTTTGCCGATATGTTGATATTAAGATCAATAAAAGATGAAGAACACCGCTCTGTACGTAAAATAGCTTAATATTACCAAACTTCAAGCACTTGTGCGATTGTTATCAAACCGAATTTTAAAAAACTGTGTTCACAATCAGAAAGAACGCTCCTTCAAATATCTTAATCCGGGTTTTTGTCGGTCAATATCTATTAGCATCATGGTTAAATCACCTTTAATATACAGGGTGTCCAAATTTCGATGGCTTTGCAGGTTATCTCAGTTATTGTGAAAGATAGAAAGTTGCGGCTTTCGTAAACCTGAGCTACTTTTTTGTGAAACTTACAATGGCGCAAACCAAATTTTCATAGCCCTCTTCGTTTTTGATATACAGGGAGTGTTTGAAATTTACGATTTACCGACACCTCCTGTATCTCGGCTATCCGGAAACTTAGTAAGAAAGTTAAAACGGGTTCTAATAGATTTTTTCACGTGGAATCCAATGGTGCGCGTAGAATTTTTCTAGTCATCACGGTTTTTGAGTTATAAACACAACTCAAATACTGAATACTCAACTTCTAAAATACTTAATGCTTTATAACTCAAAAACCGTGATGACTAGAAAAATTCTACGTGCACCATTGGATTCTACGTGAAAAAATCTATTAGAACCCGTTTTTACGTTTCCGGATAGCCGAAATACAGGAGGTGTCTGAAAATCGTAAATTTTGAAACACTCCCTGTATATCAAAAACGAAGAGGGCTATGAAAATTTAGTTTGCGCCATTGTAAGTTTCACAAAAAAGTAGCACAGGTTCGCGAAAGCCGCAAATTTCAATCTTTCATAATAACTGAGATACCCTGCAAACCCATCGAAATTTGGACACCCTGTACATCTCTATATACAGAAACGTTTAATTGCCCTACCTCTACACAACTTTCTTATTTGATATAAGGAAAACTATAGAAGTATATCATGAAGTTATAGACTACACAAGGACGTTTTTGGTCAAAAAATTACCAAATTCACACGTTTTAGCTGCTTTTAAACATTGTTGGGATCAATAACTTATACACCATTAGAAAGAGCAGAAAATTGTAGATAAGATAGATCTATACTTCTATAGTTTTTCCCCTCTCAAATAAAAAAGTTGTTTAAAGGAATAGTAATTAAGCGTTTTTGTGTGTAGGGATGTATATTAATTCGGTTTGATAACAATTGCACAAAGGCTTGAAGTTTGGTAATTTTAAGCTATTTAATCTAAGTACAGAGCCACCGCTTTGTAGTTTAAGTACAGATTGATCTTAGTATTAACTTATCGACAGACAAAGACCGGTTTTAGATAGAGAAAGAATCTCTAATTATTATCTCGAATTATCTCTAATAATAAGAAAGATATCAGCTAAGAAAGTAGATAAAAAATTACGGATACAAGTTTGTTGCTATCGGACAAATGTGGAGGAGGCTGAAAACTAGAATTCGTAAACATAAAACTAAAGAAAATTCCAATATTTCTAAGCACCACATAAAGACTGAACATAATATAAATTATGGAGGAGTTGAGCTTTTACATTCGTGTAACAAATTATAAAAATAATAACTATCTACTTATGAATGAACAAGTTCAACTTTTCCATAAACCCATCTTCGTATAATTTTACAATATACAGGGTGGTTCAGTTTTTAATCGGGAAACTTTACTAGGATGTAGTACTTGCCAAAATAACACAATTTTTTTATATAAACATAGGGTCGCAATTCTTTTGTTTTCGAGCTATNTTAATTTAATTTAATCCAAAATTAATTAAGGCTGAAGAAGATTACGTGATTGAATTCAAAGTGGAGCACATTTTTCTTCCATGCGAAACGCAATGGTTAAAAATACGAGATGGTTCCTCTTTATCCGACAATCTCTTAGAAGATTTAAGAGGGTACCCAAATCCGACACCCAGCGTTGTAAACTCGACCGGTCCAAACCTCCTATTAGAATTCTTTGGAAACGAAGATTACAGCACGCAAAGTTGTGGTGGAGGATTCGTCGCGCAAGCTGCCCAAAAATTAAAACCTCTACGAAACCACTCTTTACCAATCGCCCAAGAAATGGGCGTCCTCACTTTATCAGCTAAATTAACTGCAATTCACATCGCGATAATTTTCTTCTTGGGCGGCCTTTTGATTGCAACGCTTCTTTTAGGAGCTCAATACATTTTTAAATATCGAAAATATCATATTGCTAAAGCTGAAGATCAGGATTCTTTGACGGATTCGACGGGTTCTTGTGCTGCTTTAACGGTGAAAAATCGAGCGATATCGAATTCTACGTTGTTGACGGAAGTTATTTCTTTGACTCGATTAAGACCTAGTGTTAGATCTAGGAATAAACATAGTCGGTTAAGGGAATCTGTCGAACATGAACCCGAAGAAAGAGAAGCAACGTTAGCGTAAGTATTAGTTGTTTTTAGTGGTGGAACGGATATTCGGCAATTTTCGCCGATTAAGTTTTAAAAATTTCCCAAAGTGTTCCCAAAATTGGCTATCAAATTAATTGCTTGAAGGATTTTTGTGGAAATATCACCAATTATTAATTAAAGTATCCTCTTTTTAATGCAACAAGCCGTTTTGAAAAATAACTGTTAGTTTTTGAGAAAACAATATTTGAAGTTTTGGAAAAATTTTCGATGTTACAATTTTCATCGATAATTTTCAAAATTCGGTATAAAATTAATTTCTTGAAGGATCCTTGTGGAAATATCACCAATTATTAATTAAAATATCTTCTTTTTGATGCAAAAAGCCGTTTTGAAAAATCACTTTTAGTTCTTGAGAAATAACTTTTGAAATAATCGACAATTTTTTCGAATTTTCGCCGATAAAATTTTAATAATTCGTATAAAATCGATTTTTTGGAATATGAATATGAAAATTTCCCAAAATGTTAATAAAAGCATCCTTTTTCCAATGAACCAACCCGTTTTAAGAAATAACCTTTAGTTTTTGAGAAAACAATATTTAAAGTTTTAAAAAATATTCGATGTTGCAATTTTCATCGATAACTTTCAAAATTCGCTATAATATTAATTTCTTGAAGGATCCTTGTGGAAATATCACCAATTATTAATTAAAGTATCCTCATTTAAATGCAAAAAGCCGTTTTGAAAAATCATTTTCAGTTCTTGAGAAATAAATTTTTGAAATGATCGACAATTTTTTCGAATCTTGCAATTTTCGCTAACTAAGTTTTAAAAATTCGTATAAAATCCAGTTCTTGAAATATGAGTATGAAAATTGCCCAAAGTGTTAATAAAAGTGTTCTCTTTCCAATGAACTCACCCGTTTTGAAAAATAATTTTTAGTTATTGAGAAAACAATATTTGAAATTTTGATAAAATTTTCGATGTTGCAATTTTCATCGATATTTTTCAAAATTAATTAATAAAAAGCTGGAGGAAGGTGGACGGCAGGTATTTTAAATTTAGAAATAAAGATTACATTAGATGTTATAAAGAAAATGAATTGTTCCATTAATGAATTATCTGAACGAATTGGGCTAATTTTACCGGAGAATGTATTCCTTAGATTTATTGATTCATTAAAAGTTAAATATAACAAAGTGTTCAAAGTAACTAAAAGCATTAATTGCAAAAAACTTGACCTCTTGTTGGCTAAATCTAGAGAGAATAATAAGTTTTGTAGTAATAAGAAAAAATAGTTAGTTAATTTAACTAATGTTAATATTCCTGCTGATGTGTCATCAAATTTCATCTACCTACCAATAGCTTTAACTTTAATTTAAAACGTTTGCTGATGTTCTTAGAAAATATTATTTACAATGTAAATCCGTCACATCGTAATTTAGTAAGGGCTAAATTAACGAATGTTATCAATAATTATCAATGTTCCTGGGAAGCGTGTGATGGTGCAACCCATCAGACTAAATGAAATGTTAATCAACAGAAAAAAATTTATTAAAGAAAACCCTTCAGTTATAATAACCAAAGCTGATAAGGGGGCTACTACAGTCCTTATGGACAGAGATTCTTATCTAAGAGGTGCCACAGAAATGTTGCGAGACACAAAAGTATATAAGGTCCTCAACAAAAACCCTCTTAATAACATACAAAACAAAATTAACAACTTCATTAAACATCTACATGAACAGAAATTCATCTATGAGGGTGAACTTAAGAGGTTAACAAAACACAATTCTATTCTGGCTAAGGCTTACTTCTTACCTAAGATCCATAAGGACGGAATACCATTAAGACCTATCATTTCGTCTATCGGCACGGCGCACGGTGGGACGAAAGTGAAAAAGGGTGGACATGGGTGTTTTTATTTTTATACCATGCTCTTTTTTACAAATTGTTGCTACCAAAAACTATAAAATGTTAAACTATAAAATAATTGAGTCATATACAGTATGTTCATAATACACACATTAGTGTTATACAGGTGGTCGGTAATAAATTGACCATAGAGTAACTACAAATTCTATTTTCATTTAAAATGAAAATAATACCAAAAATGTATTGGCAAAATATTGCTCATATAATGTATACACGGCGTTGAAGATTGTCTTTCAGTTAATTACTTCTTTCATAAATTGAACAGTTTCAGAAAAAATGACTCGAAAACTGGTATTATGGGGAGTTTAATGGTAGAAAATCCACTATCACAAAAAAAAGAGTTAACAAATAAAATAAATATAACGAACATAATAAGAGTAATAAAAAATAGCAATAAGAAACTATTACACCAAACGGTAATTAGAGGGTGTAACCGTGATAACCGTATTAACACTCAAAATAACACAAAAACATTCAACACCTGAATGTTAATTGGTAAATAATTAA